AAAAGCTATGTTTCAAATGCATGTGTTATCTTCTCTTCCAAAGGAGAGGTGAAGCTCTGTTAGTCTTTGCAAGGTAGCTTGTGATCCCTTTATGAAAGCTGTGTTCCATGCATCACTAAAACCTTAGGAAAACAAGCCAAAAGAGATCTCAAGAAGTCAGTATTTGTTTTTCCTCTTTTATAAAATGTTAATTTTTTATGGGTGTTTTTGCAAACTTGTTGAGAAAAGCACTGCAGGTACTGAATTATCCAGACAGCAATCTTTTACTTTTTTTCCTCAACAAATTACTTTCCCTGTTGATTGCAAAATGTTTATGCTCTATTCCTGATGACAAAGGAGCCCACTCACAGCCTGAACTGCTTGTTCCCACAGAAGACTGTTGGACATCCATAGGAAAACTGCATTTTTTTAGCCTACCTGGTGGCCCGCGCAGCTCACATGTGCTTTAGATAATGCAGTGGGAGCCCAGCGCATGTCGGATGGTACAGAGGGTGTATGTGGGGCTTCTCGGGGTGTCTCCCCAGCCAGTCCTGCTGCAGCACCCCAGTTGCAAGTGGGAACAGAAGACATCCTTTAAATGCTTTCCCAAGGGCTTTCTGAAGTGTTTTTGTCAAAGCGAACTGCAAATGAAACCCGATTTAGTGGCATGAGGTCTGATTTCTTTTCTTCTGCTGCTTTTTTTTTTTAGTGATCACGTGTGTAGGCTGAAGTATTTGGAATAGAAAAAGCTTATTTGACCCTTCCTAATTCTCCTTTTTGGGCTCAAAAAGAGGTGCTGCTGCCAGTGATGTCAAAATGACTCCCTTGCTTGCTATGCAAACCCGTACATGCAGTCTGTGTTTCTCTTGAAGCACAGGTTTATCTGTGGAGATAATCAAAAGCCTGCATCATCCTCAAAAAATGCCTGTTTCTGATGCCTCCCTCCCTGATTCCTGGGATTTTCGGCAAAGGGACATCCCCTTTAAACCTGCGTTTCTGCTTCATATCTTTTCTCTTTGAAGCCAGAGGGTTGGCTGGCCTTTGAATAGACAAGGATGAGAATACAGCAGTGGGAGGTCCGTGTCTTGCTCATAAACCTTGGCCAGAAAATCAGCTCCGACAAGTGGGGACAGGTAGCAGCGTCTTTCCCCTTATCAAACGGCGTGGTGGAGCAGACGCATTCCTGCGCGAGCAGCGGCTGGGTGGAAGGTGGGGCCTCCCGGCTGCGCCTTGCTGCTCTGCCGCCGAGCTTCACCCCGGGAGCTGCGTGCCACGGGCTCGACGAAGAGCCGTGTTACTTCTGTACGAAACACCCTGTTTTCTGTCGGCCCTGCCCCTTGGGTGCTGCTTTGATTTGGTCTTTGTTTTTCTCTTCCTTCTGCAGGAGCCAGAGAAAATGTTTATCTGTTGTTCCAGTGCTAGGGGACTTTTGGAAGTGCCACTTCGTGCCGCAGCGTATCGTGCCGCATGGCTTGGCATGGCCCAACTTTTTCCAGGGGGAAAGCTTTCCCCAGGCCTCCTGCTAAGACCTTCCTCTCTCTGTGTAAAATAGTCATCATTAGCGCTAATTGGGCAGGTTTGGGGTTAAATCTGCAAAGATTGCTTGGGTTTGGTAAATCCTCTGCCACTGCAAAGCAGATAATGCTAAACAAAAGATTGCCTTGATTAGATTAAAGTTGGCAAATTCATTGCCCTAATCATCATATTGCCCTTCCCGTGGCTATTCAGGAATACATCACCGTGACTTACTTGAAGTAATTGAATATAATTGTCTTTTTAACTCGTATGTGTAAAACATCCATCTTTGTTAACGGCGTGTGTTGCTGTCCTGCTGCCAGCTCGCCGTCCTCTTCGGGAGGGGTGGGAACAAGAAGCAGAGCTGGGCTGACGTTTATGAATTGGTAGTTGATTGCCTATAAAACCATTCATTATTTCTGACCAAGCACCTGGAAGAGAATAAAAAGGAACAGCACCAGCCACTGGAGCCCATAGGCTTGGCTGGTGTTCCCGGGCAGGGGAGCAGAGGCGAAGCCCTGAAGTGGGACGTTGCAAAAGGACATCCCCGAAAACAACCCTGCCCCTCGCCCTTGGCGGCAGCGAAGCAGAGCATGTGGCAGGGTTAGAAATAAGAGTGGCAGAGTGAAACAGGCGCCCAAGGCAGACGCATTGCTGACCCTCCCATGGTCAAAATAGGTTGAAATGCTGAAAACAAACCAACGGTGCCAGCGGGAGGGAGGAAGTTCGTGGAAATTTTTCTCCCATTAATAATCAGAGGTGTGAAGAGGGAGAATTTCTCTTCAGATGTCATTTTTATACCAACAGATAGCTAGGAAAGGAGGCCAGGCAGCAAACACCCCATGTTTTCTTTTTCCCAGCTCTCTTGAGTGACAGGGAAAGACTCTTTTAGCACAGAAATTTCCAATATTACCTCAGCAATCAATCATTCAGAAATGCACAGTTACAAAATAGAACATAACTGGCTGGGTTTTAAGAGATTCAGATTGACCCGCTCTTAATGGTTTCATCATTATTAGTGAATTAAACTGGTTCAGGGAAAGGGCCCAAGGATTAGGATATGACTTTCCGTATTTTTAAAACACTACCGCAATGGGTAATGCAGTTTCAGCCCACGTGGACTCACGCTTCCCTGCAGACTGGGGTTAATCCAGCCCTGGACCTGCCCTACAGGCAGATCAGCCACCCTGGCTTGGGAGTTTGCAAAACTTCACCTATAGGAATACCACCAGGTGGGCTGCGTAGGTTGGTCCCAGGACCGCAGAAGAGTCCCTGTTCCTTTGGGTTTATTTGAATGGTATAAATACGGGGTGAGCACAGCGGCCCAGGCTGGAGGAGATGTTTGTGTTGTCTGGCATCAGGATGTCTGTGCAGGGACAGTGGATTTCGTGACCGTGCTTGGTATGTGATGATGTAAAAACTCCTTGCCCCAGTCCCTCTGGTCCCCACAGCAGCTGTGGGTTGGGGCCGTAGCTGTGGCCAGGGGACAGCAGTGTCCCCAGGGAGGAGGACAGCAGCTTTAAGGTGTCTGCTAGCCCTGCAACGGTTTGGGCTGAACGTGGTTTGGGGAGACCAGAGGCCGTATGGTGCTGCGTGAGCAGGGGCTGGGATGTGACGGCTGAACTCTGCTGCATTTCTGACCTGGAAAAACACTAGCTGCCTCTTAAAATGAAGGCTCCTTACAAGTGTCCCTATGTAACAAATTGTCCGTACCCAGGACGGTTAAAGGGTGAATCTTCCTCCTGCCAAAGCAAATCCTAAAGGACGCAAGTTTATTCTCTCCCTGAGCTGCTTTTGGGAGAGGAGGGGAGGGGAGCAGAAGGGGGGAAGGCAGTTAACAGTTACCCTACTGTGTCCTGACATTAGGCGAGCTGCAAAAATGCTCCCAGTGTATCAGGTAGTGTGCGGTGCCAGCCCTTTGCTGGAGCACGGAGAGCAAGTCTGCTGCGGAGCCTTAAATACTTTCCACCCCGACTACCTTAGCTTAACGCCTTTCAGCAGAGTTGGCAGGAGGGTTGTTTTTGTGTAGTCTCTCACCTCTCCCGGCAGCCCGGCTGACGCGCCTGTGCCGCGCTGTGCTTGGGGATTGTACGTTGCAATGGGAGTAGGAGCCTCAGATCCTCTTGCTGATATGCCGGGAAAGACGTATACGGGGATTTCACGCAGGCTTTGCGCGATGGACCTGAAAGGAGCACAGCCCTGCCGGACGGAGTCGGCGTAGCTCTGTTGCAGCTGGAGTCACAGATGCGAAAGGCTGAATTTTAAGTCTTTCATAGAAAAAGAGTTTGGCGTTTGCTGAGCATCAGCGAGAGACTTGACCCAAGCCTTGACACTTTGGTTTTGGATGGTGCTTCCCACCTACAGAGAGATGCTACCTGTCGCGGAGGCAAGTCACAGTGAAATACTGAGCGCAGACTGGGTTTTGAAACGCTCACTTAGGAGGTTGGTTTTGTTTTGCTTTTAGTCTCCAGTTAGACGGAAAGGCCAAGAAGCCACAGAGGGAACGGGAAGACCTATGACAATATTAAATAATCTTTAATGAAGAACTTCTGACTGTTTGCAAAGGCAGAGCAAGACCAGCCTTTTAACTTTAAGCCGATCGCTGGTACAAAACTAGAAAGTGGCGTCATTACAGATGCGATGAGCCCTGTCAAAGGGTGATTGTACAGTATCGTTATCAAGGCTCTGCTAATTGTATTTCTTTAGCTTCTGTAATTTTAGCAGGAAAGGCCCAGGCGGACAGGCAGCATTGTTGGGGGTGGCGTGGAGAAATAATCTGATGAATTTTCCATCGGCTCGACTCACTCAAATATTCTCGCTGTTAACTTTTGGGTCAATAATAAATATTAAAACCTGTAGATTTAATAAGTCAATGTAGGTGTTCTCTGCCTTTTGAGACCACTTTATCTTTCCATCAAAGATGAAACAAGCTTCTCAAATGAATAAAAAATAGGGCCTCAAGTGATTACAAGTGAGAGCAATTTGGTCTCTTCTCTCAGAACCTGGCAGTAGGCACTTTTGAGCCTCTTCTGACTGCCTAGACCGTCTGCATTAGCGCTGCTCTTGCTGTTACATTTTTAGGTAAATATTTCCAAGCTGTGTGTACAGACCTTCAGGAGAGGTGTTTGCTCCCACTCTAGGCATGAGGGACGACGCAGGTCTGGATCCCGCCAGGCTCTGTTGAGTCTGATTTGCGTTGCAAGTCTAGTTTTCCTTGGTGCTTCCTATAATCTCCTCAAGTTCAAAGAGCGCTTAGCTGCTTGTCTTTGTCAAAAACCCTGTTGGAGATCTTTTATGTCGAAGATGTAGGATTTCTCCGCATGACTTTGATTATTTATTCATTCCACTTCTCTGGTGTATGATAGCGCTGATATCATGAAGACCCCTTGTCTTGCGCTGCTCTTGCTCTGAAATTCATGGAGATTTAGTGCCTTTGAAATTGTTTTAAAAGGAAAGGAAAAGTTTTTGAAGTCCCTTTTTTTTTCTTCTTCTATTCCCCTCAACAGTGCCGCAGCACATTTTTCCGGCCTTCCACGCTCCTTTGCCAATTGACATGCGCCACCAGGAAGGACGATACCATTACGAACCTCACTCTATCCACGCTATCCACGGGTAAGTCTTGCACCTTCGCTCCCGTGCCTTGCTAAAATGTCGGCCGCCCGCGGTATGCTGAATCCCGCTGCTAAAGTCCCGGGGACTCGCTGCCCTCTTGGCAGGCTGGCCCCGCTGGCTACCCTCCACCCCACTGTCCCCATCCAGTGACAATACTGACCTGCCTGGCAGGAATGCTCTACAGCTCTGTTAAACCTATAGAAGTGCCGTATGGGAGCAGGATGGGAGTACAGGGCTTCTGTGTCGTTATCGGGCTGAGGTCCCAGGGACAGGCTCGATTTGCGTTTTTGCGCCCGCGTTGTTTCTCACATCCCGCCGTGCCTGGGTCATTTCTGGCACCATCTTGGCGAAGACCCAGCGCTGCTCCCTCCGTAGGGAGACCTTGCGTTCCCTTCCTCCCTGCCCGCCAGTCGCTCAGATGGCGGCGAATGGCTGCCGGGAATGCTGTGATTCGGTTTGATTTCACCGGACGACAGCCTGGACAGGCTGGGCGGCGTTTTCTAAAATGTGGTAAAGAGGCAGGTCCTCACGCGGGTGTCCGTGTCTGCTCTGGAGGGGCAGGACCCTGGGTTTCGGCGGTGACCTCCTCACGAGAGCCGCCCCTCCTCGGGGCAGCTGATGGGCAGCGAGCATAGGCGCCGGTCAGGGGTTGTGTCCCAAAAGGGGGGATCGTGTTTAGTCTCCTTATCCAGGACATGACAGCTCAGTAGTCCTTGATGCCTTGGAAGACCCGTTTATAGAGAGATCTGTGCTCATGTCCTGTAAGCTTTGATCAGGGCAGGGGAAAAGGAGCCAGCAGGGATGTGAGCAGAGGCTGTAGTGACTGCGGCCAGAAGGGTTTCTCCTGGTCCCTGAAATGCACCATCCCCATGGGAGGTGAGGAGCAGCCTGATGGGGTTTGTGGTCCCACGGCAGCCCTGAAATCTCTCAGCTCACATCTGTAACGCAGGTCTCAACCATCAGCTGAGGAACAGGTCTCAGGGCACTTGGTGTAGGGGAACCCGTAAGGGATGGAAACATTTTGCAAGAAGAGCAATGGAAGAACAAATAGGGCTCATCACTTAAAAAACTCTCATTTGACCCCTGGGAACCCCATTGCTGTCCGGCCAGGGTCAGTGCTCACCCGGCTTTGCAGGGGCTGTTTGTAGAGCTGTGCTTTTTCTGGAAAGGTGCGAGTGGGGGAACAGTCCCCAGGAGGCAAGTAACACAGACAGCAGCAGCCAGAAGATCTGTGGAGTCCCACAGCTACCAGGGCTTTATTCCGCTTCCAAAATGCTGGGGGAAAAAAATGATAGGGCATTCCCCTGGATCCTACCAGAAGACAAGTCCTTGTCTTTTTGGCTGGCAGTCAGTTTGACTGGATGTTTAAAGGGGCAGAGCAGCTCCTTCCATGCTGCGTGCAAAGGGGAAAGACAGAGCAGATTGCTAACATGGGAATTGTGGGGGGCTGAGAGGGGCTGAATGAAGTAGTTTTGCTCTTGCGTGCAAGTACATGCAAAAATTGTAGAAAAAAGAAAGACAGATTAATAAAAAAATATTCTGGGAGATAGTTAATAAGCCAGAGCTCTGGCTAATAAAGCACATACTGACTTCTGAAAGGGGCAATATTCAAAACAGTGGTTAGAAGGGAGGATGGCAGATGCTCAGATGTTTGGCACAGGTTATTTGTGCACCCCGCTCAGTGCTCCCCTTTACTCCTCGCGGCAAGGATTGGGTGTACTGCATCTGCCCTGGGGCTCCGCAGCAGTTTCTTCGGTGGGGTCATGAAGCAGGGTCTTCTCCAAACACCACCGAGAGCTCACCAGCTGGTGTTATGTACCTGTGAATCATAACTCCCAGTGACGGGAGCCAGTATTTTATCATATTGGGCTTGTCCAATTGATTAATCCTGGCCAAGTGTACGGTGGTGGCAGATCAGGTTTCAGTTCATCTGAGCCGATATTAATAATCCATTGTCTTCCCTGTGACCACGTTTGTCTGTCAGTGGACAAGAGTGTCCTGCTTAGTATTTGGGTAGAGTTGTTGGCAAACACCTATTGCCCTTCTTCTTTGGGATCCTTCACCTTCCCAGCAGCACCTCTCACAAAAACGACTTGTGAGGCACTGGAGAGAAAACTTGGTTGCTGGTCTTAGAAGAGGAAACACAATGTTCTTTGAAACTACCTGGGCATTGCACTGAAGGGTGCCTCTGGGGCTGGTGAAGCACCAAAGCTGAGCAGCCAACTGCTTCTCGGCTCTGGGAGTTTTTTAGGGTCAAGGGAATGTCATTTCTGTTTGGCTCTTTTCCAAGTGCCCTGAACTACGATACAACCACAATGGGAAAATTCGCACCAGCTGTGGAGTTAGTGTCTCAACAATTTTTCTCCTTTAATTTTATCTGCAAACATCTTAACCTCCCTCATCTCCTGCCCTTTCCTCCTCTAGTTTTTGTTCTGATTCTCTTTTTTCTTCCTCTTCTCTCCTCCAGTCTCCGCTCTGGAGGTCATAACATAGTGCTCACCCTCCTCGCTTGCAGACGTCCAGTGTGAAATCATCCAGAACATTGTGGTGGAGCTGGGCTAGAACATACTTACTGGTTGTGTGGTTCTTGTTCAATAGGTTGGGTGGACTCTGTGGGCACAGTCGAGCCTCTAGAAAATTGTACTTTATCCTGATGGTGCAGAAATCCATCCTTCTGTTTAAAGTAAACAACTCAAAAAGAATGCATGTGCATACTTTCACTCTAGAAAATTATGGGATATGTTTGGAAGAAAAATTGTGTCACTGAGTTTTGGCTTTATGATTAATGTGATTGGTGCCTGACGGAGAGCCCCCAATTCATCAAGCCCATATTTTAGCTGTCTGCTGTCTTGCCGGTACCAAATTTATCTAATTACATGAACATTGCACAGCAAATTAAGTGTAGTCTCATTTGTTGCTAACTATGGGGTCTTATTATCTGCCTGCTGCATTATGTCAAAGGTTTGTTTCCTGATTGCTCGATGTGACATGGCAGTACATTCCCCTTCATCACTGTTTGCATTTGGCTTAATGAGAACATACGTTATTTTATCCTAACTGGACGGAACTCATCTGCAAGGCTGTCTTGAGCAGGACCACCTGTGGGACCCTTTTCTTGAGAATATGGAAAACTCAAGTAATAAAAGACCCACATGCCAAAACAGGGGCCTGAAAGATTTGCTGCATTTCTGCTCACTGTTGTCAGTCTTTATGTCTCAGTGATTTCCTTGTTAAGCAGCAGGACAAATAATCTTCAGGACTCGAGTCTTCTTTCAAATCACTGAGCATTTATTATATACATCCAGAAGCAGATCATGTTGGTATTTCCTTGAAGTATACTTCTAGAGCTTTTTTAGGGTGTTTCAGTGTTTCTCCACTTACTAGGACAACTCACTTTTTTGTACAAACTCTGTTGGTTTTACTTATTTGGTGATATATTTTTTGGACATCTTTCATTTTTTGACTTTTTTTGGGGGGGGCATTAAGAACAATTTGGCAGAATCATGGTGCTTGCTTGGCTTGTCTAGAAAAATAAAGTATCTCATTCAGATGATCCTTGAGCTCTCTGCAGTGCAAACCAACAGGAATATTGTGGATTCAAGGCATCGTCCTGGATTCTGGTGCTTGTGAGTTTGTGGTCATGTGGAGGACAGGGGGAGAGACAGGACTGGAGCCCAATGGACACTGTAAAAGGTTGTAGTGCAGAATGGAGTAAAACTGAATATGGGATGAAATCTATTGCAGAAGTATAGAATTAAAGCAGAATGAATAAATGAAATCGTATTGGTACATGTAAATTGTATGAAGCACCACTTCCACAAAACAACATTCATTTAATATTAAGGTTGCAAACTACAGTACTCAAAAGCTAAACTATGACAGAAAAATAAATTTGGAGATACTGACTTCAACAGTATTTGGAGATACTGACTCCAACATTGTACACCATGACGACAATGCATTAAATCACAGAGTCACATGCTGGTTTTCCCCGGGATCCTCGCCTCTTCTACAGCACAGGATGGCCCAGGCTCTGTGGAAGAGCAGTGGTGGGTGTTACACATGTTTTCTGCATGCAGCTTTTATTGATTTGTCAGAATTTCACTCTGCACTGTTGGTTGTAGGCAGAACATCGATCAGCTTTACTGGAATGAAAGTCATCTGCCACGGTGTTTCAGCAGGTTCAAAGCTGAACCAAACAAATTCACTAAATAAGCTAGAACAGGTCCTTTTCTAACAAAGGGGATATTTTGTATTTGAGCAAGCTCTTCACAAAAGCCTACTCCACCAGCGCCTGGTCTCTGCAATAACTCCATCCACTTTAAACCAAGGGGACTCTTAGCGTCAGCTTTGCAAGATCAAGCCCTTGACTACAGAGGAAAGCTGCTGGCAGATATGGCAGGTGATTACTGATAGCACCCTTCCACTCCCCATTTTTAGGTGTGCTTAGCTACTCTCAACTTTTTTTTCTTTAAAAGCACAACAAAAATAACTGAAAACTCCTTAGCTCAGCTTAAAAGTCCCTGCCAATGCAAGAGCCTTCAGGGCTAACCCTTGTAAACAGCATGCCTAGGCTTGACTCAGCAAGAAGCTTTTTAACAGTAGCTCCTAAACTGTGGTTAAAACCCATCAGGCATTACGCAGTGAAACAAACAAAAGCAGCCTTGTTTTTCTACCGACATCCTGGTGGTGTTTCAGGATGCAGTTCTGACATTATTTATTGACAAAATATTGTTGTTGCTTTTCTGTCCACACATGAAAATAGTAAAAAAACCCCATAGCTGATAGTCACAAATTCCATGGCTTTCACGAGGACTGAATTGTCCCAAAGATCTAAACATAGAGAAGACTCCATCTCCATGATAATGTGAAGTTGCCCTTAATTTGCCTCTGGTAGGGAGTTTACCTGGTTTAATCATGGATCGTTCTCCATTTCCCTAAGATCTTAATATATTACAGATTTTCCCTGATATTCAGCCTACACTTTTTTTCTTTATCTG